AATTTCTACTTATAGTTGCAGATGTTGAAGCCTCTCAACTCCTCTGCCAACGTTTCAGTCAACGCCTTCTCCACTGTATATCGTCATTATCCACAACTCCTATCTAATTTCCTACGATAACCATGCCTGGAGATGTCAATCTTGTGTAACAGGTATGTCATATAAGATTGATTATTGAATTTAAGAGAGAAACTGAGATAGACAGAACTAGAAAGTAATGTAAAAATTGAAACTGTGAATAAGGATATCGACATCTTTCTGATTAGGATGCTTGGAAATGGCTTCCATTTAGACATAGATGTAATCAAACAAGTTGTTGGTAAGAAACTAAGAACCTAATCAATAATGATTCAGATTTCCATACTTATAACTAAACACCTTCATCTTAATCTTTTTATGGTTGGATGTGTTTTTATAATTGTAGGTGGTTGTGGGTATGATGTGCAAGAGGTATGTTTTCTGTTTATCAATTGACATTCTAAGTTTTTGTTTAGAGTTTAAAGATTTCATGATTCTCTTAAATTTTAACCCCAATTTGCTAATGTTGAGCATGGAGAAACTAATGAACATGTCGGCTCCCACTTTGAATTTAGGAAATGTTACTTCAAGTATGGTTGACCAAACATGTAAAGACCTTGAAGATTTGGAAATTAAGTCCGAAGAGAAACTACGATTGATAGCTTCTGGAGGATGGTATAAAGTTTTGGGTTTTGGGTGTGTGTATGATAATATGATATCCAGTTGTTAAAGAGACATTTTTTTTGTTTTTTCAGGCCAAGAAGAGAACTAAGGACAAGAAAATATGGTGTACCTACTCGACCTTTAGAAGAGCCAATAATAGTATTAAAGTATCAATTGTAGAAAAAGATGCTAATGATGGTTATGGTAGGTATGGTTATTGTGCATTTCTTTTTGGTTCATTACTTGCATTGAATCTGTTGTAGTTTTCATTTAGCTTAGGTAAGTCTTTTTGCAGTTTGGTGTTGATGACGTAGCCGGCTAGTCGACGTCCTGGAAGACGGTTGGGTTTCTTCACATTAGAAGACGGTCGGGTTTCTTCTTAATCCTTTTTTTGTTAATAAAATTATCAACTTAGAAGATTATTAAGAAAATGTGTATGAGGAAATCCACTAGGAAACACACCGGTGAATGGTATGGATTTTTTGCTTTGAGATCGGATTATATGAAAAGTTGTTTCGGTGATTGTGTTTCACGTACATATGTTATGATTTTATCTTGCCTAACCTCTATGTCATGCATTTTTTAATGTTTTTATTTTCAACTAAGAAAAGAAGCAGGCATCGAGGTGCCTAAATCTTTCAAAAAAGTTGAAAAACCCATCACACAAGTACTTTCTAAATTATATATATATATATATATATATATATATATATATATATATATATATATATATATATATAT